GAAGGAAGAAAGGGAGACGGAGGAGGGGGGAGGGAAGGAGGAGAGGGAGAGGGAGGAGGGGGATGGGAGGAGGAGAGGGAGAGGGAGGAGGGGGAGGGAAAGAGCAGTGGGAGAGGAAGGAGGGGGAGGGAGGAGAGGGAGGGAGGGAGGAGAGGGAGAGGGAGTGGGGAGGGGAGGAGGAGAGGGGGAGGATCAGGTGGTAAAGATGGCCAAGCTTGGCCTAGGTGTGCTGTGATAACAAGGTAACGGGCAAGGACTGAGGAAGACGTGTGAGGCTGTGGCTGTGCTCAGCACTATCAGTGAATGAAAAGGCAAAGGACCGTTTCTGGGGGCACCAGGGTCAGAACTCGCTTCTTTAGTAAAATTTGCATTATTTATTTATTTATTTATTTATTTATTTATTTAATCCTCACCCAAGGGGTGAGGATATTTTTCCCATGGCTTTTTAGAGAGAGTGGAAGGGAGGGGGGAGAGGGAGAGAGAGAAACATCTACGTGAGAGACACATCACTTGGCTGCCTCCCGCATGGGCCCCTACCTACCAGGGCGGGGACTGAACCCGCAACCGAAGGACTTGCCCTTGACTGGGAATCGGACCTGCGACCCTTCGGTCCATGGGCTGACGCTGTAACCACTGAGCAAACCCGGCCAGGGCAAGAAATCGCTTCTTCCCAGGAACCAGGCAGCACCGGACAGGAGTCCAGGCTGCAGGCATTGTCACCGAGCGGACAGTGTTTCAGGGAAAGCATCTCTGTGTTCGTTCACCTGTGACATGAGGAGCCGGCTGTGGGGCGTAAGGAGAGGAGAGATAAGAGGTTTTAAGGATTAGCTTCGGTGACTAGACAAAGGAGGACACTCATCCGGGGACAGCCGGTGCTTACAACACAGCGCGACCCTGCCCTGCGCAGGGGGAGGCCCCGCCTGGTGGCAGCACCTCTTTAGAAGAGCTTCTGGGCCCTTACAGCCAAAGGCTTCAGGTTTGATTCCCACTTGGGCGTGGGGGAGACAACCCATCAATGTTTCTCTCTCTCTCTCCCTCCTCCTCTCTTTCTAAAATCAATAAGAACGTATTCTCCGAAGAGGATTAAAAAAAAAAAAAAAAGAGTTCGGGGGTGAGAAACAGCGCCCCCCAAAGGCAGGGTTATTTTAGAGCAGTGGTTCTCAACCTTGGCTGCACATGAGAATCACCTGGGAATCTTTTTAAAATCCTGATTTCTGGGCCTCATCCTCCGGAAATTCCGTTTCTTTGTTACTAATGTTGCGGCCCCCACCCATTAACAAAGAAACAGAATTTCCGGAGGATGAGGCCCAGAAATCAGGATTTTAAAAAGATTCCCAGGTGACTCTCATGCGCAGCCAAGGTTGAGAGCCACTGTTTCAGAGGCTCAGTTTCTGGAGTCCGAGGACCTGGACTGCTTCCGAGTCCGGTGGCTTTGAACAAGTGACTTCCCTCTCCGAGCCTCCCTTTCCGCATTTACAAACTGGAGATCACCGTTAACAACACATCACCTCTAAATGCAACAGACAATAAGCCCTGACCGGTTTGGCTCAGTGGATAAAGCTTCAGCCTGCGGACTGAAGGGTACGGGGTTTGATTCTGGTCAAGGGCATGTACCTTGGTTGCGGGCACATCCCTAGTGGGGGGGGGGGGTGTGCAGGAGGCAGCTGATGGATGTTTCTCTCTCATCGATGTTTCTGACTCTCTATCCCTCTCCCTTCCTCTCTGTAAAAAATCAATCAAATATATTTTTAAAAAAAGTTTAAATGCAACAGATAATAAGACGGACCTTCCAGGGCCATTGAAAGCTTCGGTTTCCTGGAGACAATTAGCTTAAGGCACTACAACTAATATAACATTGTATGTCAGCTATCACTGAATTCCTTTTTAAATTTTAAATGTTGACAGCTCGTTAGCTGCTTTCTGACGAGCAGGGCCACGATCAGCTCACACGATGCCATACTCACCACACAGCAGTTCCCAGCTAGCGTCTGGCGCAAACCGTAAATGAGTAACGTTTTCTCGAAGGTACAGGAAGCGAGGCACATGCGTTAAGTCACGTGCACAGTGACAGGTAAGTGACGCTCCAAGGTGCTATCAGTACTGTGTGCGGATCACAGTCTCAGAAGTCAGACTTCTTGAGTCCGACCTAGTTCCCGCCCGTCAGGGGTCACATACATTCCAGGGGCTCTCCGTGGCCTGTGTCCTCTCCTCCCACCTGGCAACCTTGGGGGATGGGAGGAGAAGAGAGCTCTGTTATGATTTCTCCTTCCAAGGGCTGTGGCGAGGGAAACCAAGGACAATGACTGGAACACAGGAACGGCCAATTAAAGGTCGGCTGATGTTACTGGATAAAACAGCTTCATATTTCCGGGCTGGTCTTGAACCCGGTCTAACCTTTTTTTTTTCCTCTTTCAGAATTGAATGTCCATTTACATCCTCCAGCTCCAGGTGGGAATACATTCCTTTAATTGTTAGTACCGCTCTGTGCCTGTGAAACAGGATCATCTTCCTGAAAGTTCCTTGCATTTCCCGGCTGTTTAACTCTTTCCTTTGCTTTTCTTCTGGCACAAAAGGCCCTCCCTGGTCATGGCAGCCAAATCCTGTATTTCGAGATCCATTTCAGCCAGCCCTCCCAGATGACCTCCCCCACCCTTTTTCTATGTTGCTACCATCAGCATTTGTGGGTCTTGTTGTTTGTTTGGTTGTTACTTTTAACAACCTATTCTATGTAGAGGTATAACCCACACACCATACTATTCACCCATTTTAATATACCATTTACTGATTTTTAATAAATGCTCAGAGTGGTGTAAACATCACCTCGATTCAACTCTAGAATATCCTCCCCCCCAACCCAGAAGATCCCTGTGTTCATTTGCTGTCACCCCTATTCCCATTCCCACCAACCACGAATCTGTTTTCTCTTTAGCTTGGTCTTTCCTGGACATTTCAGATGCATGTGACCTTTAGTATCTGGTTGTTTTTTTTTAAGTTAAAAAGTTAACCATGGAGCTCATATGGATCCACTGTAGATAACTATGCCTCAGTGTCTCCATTCTTGGAAGAGAGGAGCCATATGCACATGTGGACAGCTGGTGCTCAGTTGTAACCTGTAGCTCTCATGAAGCTGAGAGTTTTAGGAGAGAAATGCAGATGTGGGAACACTTTATGGGGGTAGTCAAGCCAGTGAAAGGGTTACAGATATGTTGGTTGGTTTCTAAAACTATTTCAATCAGCAATTACTTGTTTGGGGGTTTGGCCAACATGGCTTAGAGCCGTGGTCAGCAAACTTCAGCTCGAGAGCCACATGCGGCTCTTTGGCTGCTTGAGTGTGGCCCTTCCTAAGCCTTTGGAGTACCCTAATTAAGTTAATATCAATGTACCTACCTATATAGTTTAAATTTAAAAAATTTGGCTCTCAAAAGAAATTTCAGTCGTTGTACTGTTGATATTTGGCTCTGTGGACTAATGAGTTTACCGACCACGGGCCTAGAGTATAAGGTGGGGGACCGTAGCCCTTCAGCTCTCTTGCTTTTTGTGTCAGAAGGAAGCTCTTTCCAGAGCAGCGGACAGCAGAGTTGCTCTGTGTGCAGGGAGCACAGGCTGAGGACCAAAGTGGGCCTGGGGAGGAGGCAATGACAGGACCCAAGTCATTGGACTGAAGTAAGGAAATCGTTGAACGCTCGCGTCTGTAAATCATGCACAACACTATGTCCCACAGCACAGGGCAAGCTATAACATAGCTTCTTATACGAATAATAGTCCATTAATCATGAGCATGGTAGTAACTAATGCTAATAAAATTGGTATAATTATATAATAAAAGCCTAAGTGACCATTAGGGTGCAACGACTGGTCGCTATGATGCGCACTAACCAACAGAGGCAGATGCTCAACGCAGGAGCTGCCCCCTGGTGGTCAGTGCGCTCCCACAGGGGGAGCAACTGCTCAGCCAGAAGCGGGGCTCATGGCTGGTGAGTGCAGCAGCAGTGGCAGGAGCCTCTCCCGCCTCCATGGTAGCACTAAGGAGCAGCAAGCCAAGTGGTAAGGAGGGAGGGATCCCAGATTGTGAGAGGGATGGCCGACTGCCGGCTTAGGCCTGATCCCCAGGGGTATTGAGCCTAAGCTGGCAGGCAGCCATCCCCCGAGGACTCCTGGACTGTGAGAGGGTGCAGGCTGGGCTGAGGGACTCCCTCCACCCCCCAGTGCCTGAATTTGGTGCCCTGGGCCTCTGGTTTTAAATATTAAATGATAAACATAACAATATAGTTAAATAGTAAAATAATAAAAGTTCTGACTTTTATTCATTTTAAAAATGAATCTTGCATCAAAATTATTTCAGGCTTATTATGGAAGACCAACCAACATTTATTAACTTTCTGTTTTGTGCCAGCTCCTATCAGTTGATAATATGGGTCTAGCGTTGAACAGGAAACCTGTGGTCATTCCTGACAAATGAGAAAGACTCTGAACAGGTCACTACACGTCAAATAAATGGAAAAAAAGGGGCACCAATACACAAGTTCAGTACAAGTGGATCTAGCATAGTGTGGACGGTCAAGGAGGTTTCATGGAGATTCACCTACAGGCTGAATGGGAGCAGGAAGGGGCGTGGCCTTGCCCGCTCCCAGAGAGGGTCACAGGTGGTCAAGGTGAGGCTGGAGGTGTTTGGGGAGCCTGATCAAGAGGGAATCATAGCCACTTCAATGCCAATTCTTGTCTTTAGAGCAATAAGGCGGTGGCAAGGTCAGGTCAGTGTTGAAGAAAGAACATTCTCGCTAACAATGAGGGGAGGAAAGGTTGGGAGTATCCAGGAATAACTTGTTGCCGTGCGTGGTCAAGGCAAAGGCACAATGCTCGCTGGTGACCAATGGCGCGCAGGGAAGCGAATCACCCTGAGCGAAGCGTAGGGGCAGCCGCCTTCTGGAGGCGGAGAGATTTCTTTTCCTAGGAGAGGGGGCAAGGGGACCATAAGAAAGACCAGCATTTCAGGTTCGCAGATGGGTGTCCAGTCTCCGGGGGACTTGCCTGCGACGGAAGCCACCTGCTCCAGGCGGCTCCCCTCTGCGGGGAGAGGTCAGGCCTCCTCTGACCCATGAACGTTCTGTGGCGCACAAGGGAGGGCGCCAGGGACTGGCCACGTGGATGGGGGGCAGCGGAACGGCCACTCCTCTCGTAAGCGGGACCCCGTTGACCATGTTCCCCTTTGTCCCAGAATATTTCAATGCTCCCTGCATCTTCCCATTTACTTACGATGACCTGACGTACTACAGCTGCGTCTCGGTGCACAGCGATTATGCCTGGTGCTCCCTGGACGACAGGTTCCAGGGCAGGTGGCGCTACTGCACGGCCAAAGGTGAGTGTCCCTCCCGTCGGCTGTCGCCCGATGCCTCGGGTCCAAGAGGCGATGGAAGGCAGCGGGCTTTGCGATCTGGGGTGTTGGACACAATGATGTCGGATTCTGGCTTCTCTACTTGCTCTCACCACTTGGAAAGCAGTGGGTGCGGGAGAGAAAGCTGGTGCTGTTAGTCTCGCAATGGTCAGCTATACGGCTTCCTTTTATTATTATTACTAGAGGCCCGGTGCACAAAAATTTGTGCACTGGGGGGGGGGGGGGAGGAGAGGTCCCTCAGCCCAGCCTGTCCCTCTTGCAGTCTGGGACCCCTCAGGGGAGGACCACCTGCTGGCTTAGGCCTGCTCCCCGGGGGGATTGGGCCTAAGGTGGCAATCAGACATCCCTCTGGCAGCCCGGCAGCCCTCGGGGGATGTCCACTTGCCAGCAGGGAGCAGGCCTAAGCTGCAGTCGGATATCCTTAGCGCTGCTGAGGAGGCAGGAGAGGCTCCCACCACCACCGCTGTACTGGCAGTCATCAGCCTGGCTTGTGGCTGAGCAGAGCTCCTCCCATGTGAGAGCGCCCTGACCACCAGGGGGCAGCTCCTGCATTGAGCATCTTCCCCCTGGTGGTCAGTGTGTGTCATAGTGACCAGTCATTCCCAGTCCTTCTGCTGTTAGGGTCAGTTTGCATATTACCCTGTTACTATATCTGATAGAGGCTTGGTGCATGGGTGGGGGCCGGCTGATTTGCCCTGAAGGGTGTCCTGGATCAGGGTGGGGATCCCGCTTGGGTGCCTAGCCAGCCTGGATGAGGGACTGATGGCTGTTTGCAGCTGGTCACACCCCCTTCAGGGTGGGGGTCCCCACTGGGGTGCCTGGCCAGTCTGGGTGATGGGCTGATGGCTGTTTGCAGCTGGTCAAACCCCCTTCAAGGTGGGGGTCCCCACTGGGGTGCCTGGCCAGTCTGGGTGAGGGGATGAGGGCCATTTTCAGGCTGGTGGGTGACTGAAGCTCCCAGCCTCTCCTTTTTTTCTTTTCTTTTTTTAATTCTGGGATTTATTTACCTTCTATGGCTTTAGCTCTGAGGCTCGGCTTTAGCCCTGAGACCTTGGCTGCTGAAAGCAGGTATCTGGTTTGTTTGGGTTCTATAATTGTAACACTGTTGTGGTCCTGCTTGCTCCAGCTCTGAGCAGGTTTCTGGGGATTGTTTAGCTTCTATAATTGCAACATTGTTTCTTAGAGTGCAAGCTCAGAGGCTGGCAGCGGCAGGCAGGGAACCTTGGCTTCCTCCATCACTGGAGCAAGCAAGCCTCCTGTTCGCTTCAGCTGCCTGGCTGCCAGCCGCCACCTTGGCTGGCAGTTAATTTGCATATCTCACCAATTAGCCAATGGGAAGGGTAGCGAAGTTACGGTTCATTACCATGTTTCTCTATTATTAGATAGGATTTCTTAATCCGCACCTGAGGATATTTTTTTCCATCGATTTGTTAAAAAGAGAAACACGTGTTTTTTTTTTGAAAAAAATTTTTTTATTGATTTCAGGGAGAGGGAGAGAGAGATAGTAACATCAATGATGAGAGAGACTAATTGATTGGCTGCCTCCTGCATGCCCCCTACTGGGGATCGATTCTGCAACCCGGGCATGCACCCTTGACTGGAATCAAACCCTGGACCCTTCAGTCCACAGGCTGATGCTCTATCCTCTGAACCAAACCAGCTAGGGCTTTCCATTGATTTTTTTTTTTTTTTTTGAGAAAGTGGAGGGGAGAGAGAGAGAAACACTGATGTGAGAGACACACATCCATGGGTTGCCTCCCGCACACAGCCTGGAACCGAGGCCTGTGCCCTTGATCAGGAATTGAACCCGTGAGCCTTTGGTCTGCAGGCTCTAACCCCTGAACACTGGTCCAGGCAACCTTGAGACTCTCTATGTTCATGTTTCTCCTCCTGCTTCTCCCTCTCTCTGCAGACCCCCCCACGTGCGCCTTCCCCTTCCGCTTCAGGAGTAGGCTCTTTCAGACGTGCACCAAGATAGGCTATATTTTTAATCGGACGTGGTGCTCGCTGACCAGTAATTACGATGCAGATGGAAAATGGAAGCAGTGTTCTCCTTACAAGTACGTTGGCTGGGGAAGGATGGAGTGGGGGGGGGGGAGAGTGTCTTAGACACCTCTTAAAGTGGGGAACGCTCTGGATTGATGGAGAGGGAAGTTGAGGTCTAGATGATCTGCTGATGGCTCAGGCCAGGGGTCAGCAAACGTTTCTGTAAGGGCCCAATAGTAAGTCATTCCAGCTTCGAAGGCCGTATGGTCTCTCACATACTCAACTCTGCCTTGTGGCACAAAAGCAGCCATAGCGTTAAAAACAAACAAACAAACAAACAAACAAACAAAAAGAACAGCAACAAAAAACCCTGGCCAGAGGGCTCAGTGGTTAGAGTGTTGGCCAAAGGGTCTTGGGTTCAAGTCTGGTCAAGGGCACGTACCTGGGTTGCAGGTTCCCTGCAGGAGGCAACCAATCAATATGCGTCTCTCCTTCAGTGTTTCTCTCTCTCCTCTTTCCCTTTCCCCACTCCCTTCTACGCCCTAAAATCAATGGAAAAAAAAATAGCCTCCAGTGAGGATTCACCAAAAAAAACTGAAAGAAAACAAATAAACATGACTGTGTGCCAATAAAACTATCAACAGACCCTGACATTTAAATCTCATGTCATTTTCAGGTATCACAAAATATTTCTTGTCTTTTGATTTCTGTTTTTGTCCACCATTTGAAAATGAGAAAACCATTATTTCATGGGCCATATAAAAACGGATGGGGTGTGGGTTGCATTTGGCCTCTGGGCTCCAGTTGGCTGGCCCCTGACTTGAATGATCTGTCCTTGACCCCACACATTGCCCCTCCCCCTTGCATTTTCCCTTTTCTCTCTCCCTTTCCCCCCCTCCCCCTTACTTCCCCAATTTTTTTAAAAATAAAAAGAGATTTAAGAATATATTTTCTTATTGACTTCAAAGAGGAAGGGAGAGGGAGAGAGAGATAGAAACATCAATGATGAGAGAGAATCATGGATCGGCTGCCTCCTGCACATCCCACACTGGGGACTGAGCTTGCAACCTGGGCGTGTGCTCTGACCAGGAATCGAACCGTGACCTTCTGGTTCATAGGTCAACACTCAACCACTGAGCCATGCTGGCTGGGCAATAGAAAGAGATTTAAGATGGAGTGCATGGCCATATAAAATTAAACTTAGTATTAATTAGAAGAAGGTGATATATGGGACAATGCTCATAGTCGGGGCTTGGAAGGGATGAGTGGACGCAGGACGGAGCCTTCCCTGAAACTAACGCACTAGAACAGAACACAGAGCCTCTGTACCTGCTGCAGGTGAGCAGGATTTGGGTGACCTTGACTCTCTTTGTCCATAAACAGCCCTTCCCTCCACCCAGCAATTTCCGTTCTATGATATATATCATAGAAAACCTTGGACAACTGCACAAATATGTATGTAAGACGATGGCCATCACAGTGACCAAAAAAGTTAGTACAGCCATCTATACTAATAAAAGAATAATATGCTAATTAGACCAGGTCTACCGGACATCTTCTGGTCGTCCTCCCTTTCTTCCAGACAAAGCCACGGTGACTGTGGCCCGAGGCAGAGGCAGTTAGGGGCGATCAGGCCAGCAGGGGAGGGCAGTTACGGGTGATCACGCAGGCAGGCAGGTGAGCAGTTAGGAGCCAGCGGTCCCGGATGGGATTGCGAGAGGGATGTCCAACTGCCAGTTTAGGCCCAATCCCCTTTGCCCTGTGGCTTGATTTTCATGATGGAGAATTTTCCACGTGAAGACATAAATCTACACCACCTTTCAGCATGCTTTCCTAAAACTTCAAACTATGGATCTACTCTTCCCCAAGTAAAGCATAATTGGATGGCTTTTAGTATTTTGCTATGACCTTGACCAAATGGGTACCTTCTACATTGATTTTTGAGTAAGTGTGTGAGGGTGTTTTTGTGGTATTATCAGATTATCTGAGTGAAGTCACTGGGTCAGTGGATGCTTACATGTTAAGTGTGTGTGTGTTAAACGTTTTTATTCTAAATTATCCTCAGTAAACATATGAATCTGCCCATTTTTAAAAACTTCCTTAACACTGAAAATCATCAATTTAATAAATTTGCTCCAAGTATAGACTACATAGCTTATGTTAAAGTAATCAATTAAAATAATCAAGTAGCCTGGCCAACGTGGCTCAGTGGTTGAGCATTGACCTATGAACCAGGAGGTCACGGTTTAATTACCAGTCAGGGTTACGGGCTCGATCCCCAGTAGGGGGCATGCAGGAGGCAGCCGATCAATGAGTCTTTCTCATTATTGATGTTTCTATCTCTCTCTCCAGCTCCCATCCTCTCAGAAATCAGTAAAAATATATTTTAAAAAATAACTAAGGACTGAAATAATCAATAATGGCATACTGTGCTTGAGAGTGAGAGAGAAATACTTCCACCTATCCTTGGGCCACTGACCTTTAACGCCCTTCCACCCTCCCCCATTCCACGTGCCCATGTTAGTTCTTGGGGGTAGACCAGATCTCCCATTGGGGAGAGGTTATCCTGGAAGATGGAGACGGATCCTGACCCTCACCTCTGCTTTTCTTCCACAGTTTATAGTAAGTCTTGGTGTTCACGAACGGACAGAAGTTATAGGATTCATCAGCTGCCTCTCAAAATGGATCTTTTCCCGGATCATTCTGACCAATAAAGATTTGATCCCTCTCCCACGTGGATGACTCCCTCTCTGAAACCAGGCACAGCTGAAGCTCGGTGGTAACCAGTGCCTCCCTGGCCCTGGGGGAGGGGGACCAGCAGGGCATCAGTGGGGAAGAACTTGCATTCAAATCAAGGTCCTGAGGAATCGCTGACAGTATTGTCTTTGGCAAGTTAACTTCTCAGAGAAACTCCAGCTTCCCCTCACACAATTCTTGAAATGTTTAATTAAGTACAATGTACCCTTTTAATTGTTGGAGGTAAAATTCATGACGTTCAATGAACTACTTTAAAGATAGCAATACAGTGGCACTGAGGACAGTTGCAAAGTTGTGCGAACATCACCTTTACTTCCAAAAGGTTCTCATCACGCCCTGGCTGGGTAGAGCAGTTGGTTAGAGCATCGTCCTGATATGCCAAGGTTGTGGGTTTGATTCCCAGTCAGGGCACATAGCTAGGTTGCGGGTTCAATGTCGGGTCAATAGGGGCACATATGGGAGGCAACCAATCGATGTCTCTCTCTCTCTCTCTCTCTCCTCCTTCCCCTCCCTCCCTCTCTCTAAAAAACCAATACCCTTGGGTGAGGATTAAAAAAAGACTCTATACTAATAAAAAGAGTAATATGCAAATTGACCAAATGACCAAACAGCAGGACGACCATCCTGACGGCCTTCCGGTCAACCATGCTATGACACCCACTGGTGCCAAGCCAGCCAAGGCAGCTGCAATGCGATTGGTTGGGGGCCTGGCCATCACCCCATGATCACCCTGCAGAGGGAGGCTCAGGCCACAGGCCATCTGGGCGATTGATCAGTTGAGGGGCTCCACGATCGCCCCAAAGAGGGAGGCCCAGGCTATCCTGTGGTGGTGCTGCAGCAGTTGGGCGGAGCTTCCCTCTTGGAAGCAATCGATTGTGGGGCTCCTGTACTGTGAGAGGGCACAGGCCAGGTTGAGGGACTCCCCCGTGCCCCGAGTGCATGGATTTCATGCACCGGGCCTCTAGTAAATAAATAAAATGATAACACTAGAATAAACTCTGTTTCATGGACTCACAACTGTAAACCTACTTTTGCCCACCCTGTAGATAACATACACACAACACACACGTTACAGACACTCAAGATTTTCACATACAACACAGAAAACACCACATGTTGTCCATACACAACTAACACACAAGAAGACACACATCCAGTGTGTCCACAGACTACACACACGGCCATATGCATAACACATACAATACCACAGACAACATACACTCATGTACAGAAAAAATATATGACAGTACACACCCACACACATGCGTATGTACAACACCCATACCTCACAGTTGCAGGACATATACGCACAACACACACATATACAACAGACACACCTCCCACACACAAAACACATCCACACACTCTATACGCACAAAATCCATAATATGTTCACGTCATCATCACACAGCTCACGCTCATGCACAAAAGACTTGCACGTACCACCCACACAATGCAGCCATATGCAAAGCACACACACACACACACATACACACCCCACAACACGACACTTACATCCTTGGAAAGCCCTGAGGGCCCCGCCTGGGCAGGAGCCTGGGAAGGGCCCCTGCACCTTCCCCTCCCCTGTTGCGCTCTCCTCTTTCCCCGGCTGTGGGTGATGAAAAAGGGTTAAATACATGTGATTTAGTCAGCCGAGGGGCCGACCAAGCCCTGGCCCTGACCTACCAGCCAACCAGGAGGGGGCTGGAGTCCAGTGGTTACGGAGCCGCAGCCCCTCCTGCCCAGCAAGTACCTGTGCGGTCACTAACAACAGATCCCTGGTCATCTGCGACCTCTGGAGGTCAACACGGGGCCCTCAGAGTGTGCGGTCTGAACCTGGGGCACCTGGGCCCGAAGTGACCCCCTCAGGCTGGCCATCAGCTGTGAGTGACCCCGAGCCTGGACCTTCTCCCCTCCTCCCTCCCTCACTTTTCGTCCTTCCTCTCTCCATTCACTCACAGTGATGGACACCTGCTCTGTGCCAGGCACATCCGGGCTCTGGCAAGACCAAGCGCCTGTCCTCATGGAGCTTACACTTGGGTGGGGGAGACAGACTTAGCAGCTAAGCAAGGGAGACACACGGTGTGACAATGGGGCCCAGGCGAAGGGGAACCGTGAGGCAGTGAGAGGGACAGGGAGGCGGGAGGGGAAGGTGTGCAGCCTTAGCTGGGGTGGTCAGGGGAGGCCTTCCTGAGGAGGTGGCATTTGTGTGTAGACAGAGGGAGGCAGGGCATGAGCCATGCAGGCGGCAAAGGGAAGAGTCCCAGGGCAGGGAGCAGGCTGAGCTTGGCATGTCAGAGGCCCGAGGAGGCCAAGTGCCCAGGGAGGTTCATCAGGGGGGAGTGGAACACAAGGGTTGGAGGTGACAGGCTTGGGCAGGGCGCAGAGCCCTGGGGGCCATGGTGAGGTGCCGGGAGCCACAGAGGCTCTGGGCAGAGGAGCGATAGGACTAGACAAGTTTCAGGGTCCCCTGGCCCTTGTCTACAGAGTGGAAGCAGGGGAGAGGGAGGAGGCTGTAGAGAGAGTGCTTGTCCGGGTCCTTGGAGAGGCAGACGCCGAGGTGGGGTTAAATGGGATTATACACCAAGGACTTCATTAGGGGAGATGCTCCTGTGAGAACAAGTAGAGAAGGAACCGGGAAGGCTGGGAGAGCCAGGGGCTGAGACCCTGAGGGAGAGAGAGGGAGGAGGCTGGGTGGAAGCGTGTGGACCACCACGTGGTCTCAGGGACATTGCCGAGGCTGTCAGAAGTCCCGCGTCTCCCAGAAAGGAGCCTGCCTCAGTTTCCCCAACGCACTCAGGCATTGGCAGGGCGCAGCCCACAGGAGGGCTGGGAGTGGATTTCGGGGGACAGCTGCTGGGCTTGTGGCTAAGTAAACTCCAGCCATTGGAGGTTGCAGGGCGCCCTCTGGTGGTGACCGAGCACAATGACCCATCAAGAGATGATGGGGTGGCCAGGATGGCAGCGGTGGGTGAGGAGAAGTGAGGGGACCACGGAGATGTTCTGAGTATCAAACTCACAGGATTTGCTGCTGGTGGACATGAAGCAACAGAGAACGAGAGGAGTCAAGAACAAGCCCAAGGGTTTTAGCCTGAGCTACTCAAAGGCTACAGAATCCATGAACTGAGGTGAGAAGATTCGGGGAAGGGGTCTGTGCAGGGGCGGGAAGCAGGCCCACTTTTACATGATCACGTAGCAGGGAGATAGAGACAAAGGGTTACATGCATCGATTTTTCTCCTCTTTCCCCTCCTCTTTCCTTCCTATTTCAGTCATTAAACCAAAAAGATCTATTTTGTTCTCTCTCTGCTGATCCACGTGTGGGAAGCGTGGTGGCAGACAGCCATGGCTCTCAGAGCTCACAGCTACTCGGGGCGAGGAGAGCGAGCCTCAGGCAGGGAAACACCGTGTCCTAAGTGCTGCTGGGGCAGGAGAGGATTTGGGGAGCCCAAAGGCAGCCCCCCTCACCAGTCAGCGGGATGTGGGAAGGCTCATGGTGAGAGGTGGTGTCTACCATGAGGTCTGAAGGCCCAGTAAGTTCGTGAGGGAGAGCAGTCTCGGGGAGGAGCCTTCCAGAGAAGGAAGAGGATAGGGGGTGGTTTTGAGGCAAGAGGGAACATGAATTGAAGTAGGATTTTGCTCCTGGATTGAGAGTAGGTGGTGTGGAGGGGTGAGTGGTGGGGCTGGAGGAGTCTGCAAGGGTGAGTGAGGGCAGCTGAGCCTGAGTTAAGAACCAGTGAGATCTTCCCCTGGGACTCCCCTGTGCCCTCCTTTGAGCACACCCTCACTTTCCCTTCTCCTCTCCTTCCCCCACAGGCACGCATCTCCTCAACTGCAAGGGACCCCACGAGCCTTGCAACCAGGAGAACAACGGGCAGCAGCAGCGCATCCTGGGTTAATCCCCTGAACCTGTCCCCAAAGCTCCCTTTTCTCTGACTCTCCGAGCTGACAGCCGCCCCACCGTGGCTCACTTCTTTCCCGTGAAGTTTCTAGAGCCAAAGCAGTCCCCTCTAGTCTCTCCTGTTGCTCCCACCCTTGGCCCTTCCTTGTGTCACAGTCCCGGATTTATTTAGGAAACGTACCCTCACAACCACCTGGACTCCTGTCGTGAAATCTTTCCCGCACGAAGTCAGGAGCCCACACACTACAGCTCCAACCAATTGAGCTCAACACATTTGTAATTCACCCGCGTTTCTACATCCCCTGAGCTCATTGTTGAATTCCTGGTTCTCTCCCAAGAATTCAAACTCGGATTACCCAATAGTGTGCTCCGAATGACTTCACGGTTGCTCAATATCCTCAACCGTGTGGTCATCTATTTGTTACGATATTTACTTCTCTCTGGCAGCAGGCAGCTCCTCCACACACGGGAGCGGTTAATGATTGCCCTGTCTTTACTATAAAAGGCGATCTGGCCACAGCTGCCACCGCCTCTCCCCGCGGGTGGCTACGGCTGGAGCTCTCACAGCAGGTACAGAGAGCTCGCGGTGATGTCAGACGGGTATGTGTGGTTTGAAGGGATCCCTTTCCCTGTGGTGGACTGCACCCCTGAACACCTGAGAGCAATGCAGGATTTCGTGTTTAAGGATGAAGATGTCTTAACAGTGTCTTTCCCCAAATCAGGTAAGGAAGCCGGACCAGACACCGAGGCTGGCTGGGCCTATGTCCCTCCGCCGTTCACTAAGGGCATGGAGAGCTTCTCTTTGCCAGACAATGACAAGGCTGTGGGGGCATAGGGCTGTGCCCGGATGCCAGCGATATCCAGAGACGAGGAGGTGGCCAGGCTGTTACACAGGAAGATGAGTGTTTGGAGGGGGTCATGGAAGGCCTTAGGGGAACCCATAGGAACACATCCTAGAGCAGATTTGGGTGCTTGTATGGAGAAGTGGAGGCGATGAACAGTGACGTCCTTACAGGAAAAAATAGAAGGAAAGGGGCCCTGGCTGGTGTTGCTCAGTGGTGAGAGCATCAGCTCCAGCACCGAAGGGTCTCAGGTTTGATTCCTGGTCAAGGGCACATATCTTGGTTGCAGGTTTGATCCTGGCCCCAGTTGGAGCAAGTGCCAGAGGCAACTCTCTCACATCAATGTTTCTCTCTGTCTCTCTCTCTCTCTCTCTCTCTCTCTCTCTCTCTCTCTCTCTCTTCTCCTTCTCCTCCTCTTTCTTCCTCCTCTTCTTCTTCTTCCCTTCTTCTTCTTCTTCTTCTTCCTCTTCTTCTTCTTCTTCTTCTTCTTCTTCTTCTTCTTCTTCTTCTTCTTCTTCTTCTTCTTCTTCTTCTCCTCGTCCCCCCCCTCCTCCTCCTCCTCCTCCTCCTCCTCCTCCTCGTCCCCCTCCTCCTCCTCCTCCTCCTCCTTCTCCTTCTCCTTCTCCTTTTTCTTCTTCTCTCTAAATTCAATCAATAAATAAAATTTTAAAACAGAAAGTGGTTAAGAGGGTGCAGTTTATCACACTGTTTTTAAAAGTCAGATTGTAAGAATGGGTAACCATCCTTTTTCCTTCTTTATCCAGGAACGAACTGGTTGGTTGAAATCCTCTGCCTGATATACTCCAAGGGAGACCCCACGTGGGTCCAATCTGTGCCTATCTGGGAACGCTCTCCCTGGGTAGAGAACACGCATGGGTATCAAATCCTAAAGGATAAGGAAGGCCCACGCCTCATCACCTCCCATGTCCCCATCCACCTCTTCCCCAAGTCTATCTTCCAGTCCAAGACCAAGGTCAGTGCACAATGGTCCAGCTATGTTTGATTCCTGCTTTTCCACCTCCCACGTGCCTGGGAACCACCTGGAGACCTGGCGGAGTGGCCATGCCACCCAGTAGGTCTGGGGTGGGGCCGAGAGTGCACATTTGGCGAGGCCACGGTCCGTACTTGCGCCAGAGGTAAACCAGAGGCAAAGCGAAATGGTGATGCCAGGATCTCAGAGAACCACGTTTTAAACCCAAGCGGAATTTATAACTGCGTTCCATACTAGACGACTCCCCCTTTTGTTGCTCTAAAAAGTAATTAGCTGATCTTAATTAAATAACTGCCTCCTGCCACTCAGGTAGAAGCAGCAGACACTGAGTTCGGCTGCTAGAGAGGCAGGAAATTCATAATTCAAGGCTAAGTCTGGGTTGAATGCTCGGGCATCATGATGGTTTTACTAACCGCTGTGTCTTCCTATGTCTAGCTGTCTATTGGGTGTAGCAGCCACACGACTCTCTCATGGGCTAACCGATGATCCCCAGAAGGGATGTGGAAATCCAGGACCTGGCATAGCTCAGATGACTTTTAGAAACACCCCTTCCTGGAAGGTGCTCATTGGTTTGTGACCTAAAAATATGTTTTATGCTGAAATTCGATGGCGAAGCTTAGCATAATGTTCTCTTCTCTCGGAGAGTTCACAATGTGTGACAGCACCATGAAGCTTTTTAAAAAAAATTTTATTTTTCAATTACAGTTGCTAGTCAATAGTTTCAGGTGCACAGCATAATGGTTAGACATTTGTGTAACTTATGCAGTGGTCCCCACTAAGTCTAGTACCCACCTGGCACCAGACACATTACCACAATATCACTGACAATATTCCCTTTGCTCTACTTTACATGCTCAAAGAAAGCTAAAACACTAATTTGAAAAGGCATATGTATCCCTGTGTTCATTGCAGCATTATTTACAACTAGAGACCCAGTGCATGAAATCGTGCACTCAGGGGCAGGATCCTTCAGCCTGGCCTGCACCCTCTTGCAGTCCGGAAGCCCTCGGGGGATGTCTGACTACCAGCTTAGGACATCCTTAGCACTGCCATGGAGGCAGGAGAGGCTCTTGCCACCGCCGCTGCACTCGCCAGCAGTGAACCTGGCTTCTGGCTGAGAGGCACTCCCCCTGTGGGAGCACACTGATCACCAGGGGGCAGCTCCTGCGTTGAGTGTCTGCCACCTGGTGGTCAGTGCACATCATAGCAACCGGTCGTTCCGCTGTTCGCTTGATTTGCATATTAGCCTTTTATTATATAGGATAGCCAAGACATGGAGCAACCCAAGCGTCCTTCAATAGGCAATTGGAGAAGGAAAATAAAGTGTTTTTTTTCTTTTTAACTTGTCACTTCTCAAGCTTGTTTATGACACACCTATTATTATAAATGGTGTTAAGCATATTCATATTGTGATTTCTCGGTGTTTGTTAAATCCCCGTGTGGGGAAGCTGAGGCCTAGAGAGTGCTGGGGCCTGGAATCACGTCACAAAGAAAGTTGGTGCTGAATCCGGATTCTTGCACCTGTGTGCCTGTCTGTGTGCCAACCTGGAGTATCAGCTTGTTGAATCCTTGCCTATGCACACAGCTGCGTAACTGCCTCTCAGATCCAGATGTGGCATATTTTTACTCCCCCCCCAAATTCCCTCACGCGCTTCCCAGTCAATGCTCACCCACAGCGGCGACCACCTGCTGACTCTAACTCTATAGATTCGTTCGCTCATCCTCCAACGTCACTTACATACACTTAGACCATACAAACATCTGCTGAGTATTGGTGAATGTAGCACGATTTCTTAGTCCTTCCTCCTGTTAGTAATCTTTAAACTATAGAAAGTAAATATAATCCTGCTCACCTTCCAAAGCCACTGGTTGCTTCCCAATGTGCGTAGACATAATGTCCCAGAAGGAAGGGACGATGCTTTCTTTTTCCATTGTTATATTCTTGATATTATCCCGGGAACTTTAAAATATGTATTTGACTAACGAATGCAATAGCTAACTTATTAAAAGAATCCATTGAGCCTTAGCCAGTGTGGCTCAGTGATTGAGCATCAGTCAACCTATGAACCAGGAGGTCACAGTTTGATTCCTGGGCAGGGCACGTGCCCAGGTTGCAGGCTCGATCCCCAGTAGGGGGCGTGCAGGAGGCAGCTGATCAATGATTCTCTCTCATCATTAATGTTTCTATTTCTCCCTCTCCCTTCCTATCTGGAAACAATAAAAATATATTTTTTTAAAAGAACCCATTGAGCCTTAGCTAGTTGCTCAGTGGTTAGAGCCAATCACTGAAGGTGTGCAGATTCAATTCCAGTCAAGGGCATGTACCTCCGTTGCAGGCTTGATCCCTGTCCATGGTCGGGGCATGTGTGGGAGGCAACCAATCGACGTGACTCTCACACATCAACATTTCTCTCTGTCTCTCCCCTTCCCTCCCACTCTCTCTAAAAATCAATGGAAAAACAACCTCAAGTGAGGATTAGCAAAAAAATAAAATAAAGAACCCATTGACATTTAATAGGCATTTCCTAGGAACTGGCTTTTTGTTCTCTGTTTTTGTGAAGATGAGGAAGGATGGGAAACTTCCATCATCCCACCTTTCTCTTCCAGGTGATTTATCTCATCCGAAATCCCAGAGATATTCTCGTGTCTGGTTACTTTTTCTGGATTATTTCCAAGTTCGTGAAGAGACCAGAGTCCCTGGAACAGTATTTCGAGTGGTTCACCCAAGGACACGGTGAGTGAAAATATGTAAAATATGGCAGCTGGGGGTTTGTCAGGATCCTTTGTCAGACCCTATCACATAGCCCACCTGCTGCTCCACATCCCACTCCCCCGGGGGACAGGGCCCATCACCATTGGAACCCAAGGCTTCTAAATCCACGCCTCTCTCCGATCAGAGCCCCAGCCGGCCTTTCAGCTTGCCCCTCACCACACCCCAGCTGCCTGATACTAACACGGAGCACTTAGCTTCTCCTCTCCCTTCCCACGTGTGGCTTTCGAAGAGTCAGCTTTTCATTGGGCTGCTGAACAACACAAGCCTGACTTGCCGCCGTTTTCCCAGATGCATCCTTATCAAGCTCCCTTTATCTTCTTGTCCTTTTGGTCGCAAAGGTGTATGTGTCACCGTCGGATCTCCATCCTTTTCATTTCGCAGAGTCTCTAGAC